GTATGTTAGTATTTTACATATTTTTAAGGATAATGGATATACCTATACATAAACGGTCATACATGTACGGTACAAAAATATGAATTTTCTATGATTTATATTGAATTTGTTAAGTAAATATCAGTAAAACTTAAAAACTAACAAGGTAATTTCCATTACAATTATTAAATGATACACTACATCTGGTACCTACCAGATTAAACTATTAAAGGCTCATCATTCAAACAAGATTGGTTTTACTTCAGAACTAATGGTACACAAACGATTTGCTCATACAGTGCTTTCAAAATTCCAATCTAGAAATGTGTGCATAACCTATTAGTGAAATAAAAATTCAAAATTCCAATCTGAGTGAAAATTAACCCCAATTTAGTGATAACAGATAAGTTATAACTTATAGTTTTATCTCCCCACAGTCAGATTTCGATTTTTGCAATATCTCCGGGAATAATTGTGCACAAACGACTGGACTTGTGCACTAACTATGCAACAAACGAACTCCTCAAACAGAATTTCAAAATTCCAGATCGGGGGGTCTCAGGAATGGACCCCCGAATTTGTTTTTGCGATATCTCCGGAAATAATTGTGCACAAACGATCGGACTTCGTGCACATTCGTGCACAAACGATGCACAAACGATTGGCGCAATCAGAATTTGAAAATTCCAAATCGGGGGGGCTGCCGTTTCTACGGCCCCCCGAATTTGTTTTTGCGATATCTCCGGAAGTAATTGTGCACAAACGATCGGGCTTCGTGCACATTCGTGCACAAACGATGCACAAACGATTGGCGCAATCAGAATTTGAAAATTCCAAATCGGGGGGGGGGCTGCCGTTTCTACGGCCCCCCGAATTTGATTTAGGGATAATCTCCACAGTTTTTGTGCACAAACGACCGGACTTCGTGCACATTTGTGCACAAACGATGCACAAACGATTGGTGCAATCAAAATTCAAAAATTCCAAATTGGGGGGGCTGTAGAAATGGACCCAATGTACATTATATAATATTACCTGTACGGTTACCGTAAATTAACAAAAAAGAAATTACCTTTTACATTTTTTTTACTCTTAAAAAAGTCCGAGTGATCACTTAATTTGTTTGTTTTTGTATTCCTTATCAAGACAGTAGAAATATAATACAAATGATGATTTTTATAAAATGATAATGATCGATAAGTGATAATAATTAAAGGAATTAATAAATACTACATTGCATCACATTAGTGGTATGTGGTTATTAGTTTATATAGTTTAATATGTAATGTTATCACTTTATTTTATATTTTTCTTGCCTTATTTACATACTATTGTGACAAAATTCAATAGGTACACTATTAATCAATTTTTAATAACCATTTACCAATTTTAAATTAAATTTGGTAAACTTACCTGTGAAATTGTTTGGTAATTAACAAACTTATATTCGTAATATCCACTTTTCTAATTTTAACATAAATAATATGTTTTGGGCTGGTTACACGTTTAGTGTTTCTGACCGATTTTTCGTAAGGTTGCTTTGAATCCTGAGGAATGTGAGAAATTTCGTAACCTTTGTCTTATAATAATTGATAGTAATAATTTTCCACAACGTTCATGGATATTAGTAGATAAAGTCCATACATTATTGGCACACGATAATATATGTTCTCAGAGCCTAATGAATAAATCCACAAATTATTGAATTTTACATTCTTCAATATCTAAAACTAATATGGAAATTGAAGAACAATTCGAAATATTTGAAATGTCGTCATTCACTGCATACTACATTAAAAATAATGATAATATTGCACAACCACTTAAAGTTGAAGATATTTCTGTACCTGAGAGGCTAAAGGGTCTAAGTCCATTATTGTAACTTTTCAGGAGAGCCAAAAAACCGTTTTTCAACTATTTTTATTTTACTTAAATGGCTGGTGTAAATTCAGTTTAATGATTATACCAACAAAGTTTGTTTTAAATAATAAGCTGTAATATTCTCAATAAGATGAATATTTTTTCTTTTAATTATAACCTACCTATAATTGTTTATTTTACGAATTAAATGAAATGTTTTGGACTTAGATCATTTTGCTCAATCACACAGTGGACTTGGGCTCTATTAATCTCCATGCTAAGCATGGACTTGGATCATTTTGCTCAATCACACAGTGGACTTGGACTCTATTAATCTCCATGCTTAGCATGGACTTGGATCATAATTCATAAATCAAAATAAATATTTAGACTTAGTTCTTTTTGTAATTTCCCAATATCTCGGTAAATATTCGTTATTGGACTAAAATGAAGATAGGTAAAATGACGGGCGTCAAAATTTCACATAAGAAAAAACCATAACCTCAATTTTGATAAAAGTGGACTTGGACCCTTTAGCCTCTCAGGTACAGATTTGTAAAAACATGACATTAATTATCCGAGATTCAGTCTGCAGGTCTATTAACGATGTGTTTCGCCGCCACAACAGAATAAGCACCATAATCAGGCATGTATCCAGGGGGTGGGTCAATGTGGTCTGCCACCCCCCACCCGAAATTCTTGTGTACCGGCAAAAAAAAAAAATTAAAGGTTTTATATTATATATATTAAGCATAGCAATTGTACTAACATTCATTTTCAATGTTATTATATAATATGCAGATATAAAGTGAGATATCGCATGCAGCTGCGTCAGCTGCGTATTTAATATTTATCACGGCCGTCGAACCTATGTGGGGTTCTCTATGTGATATCAACGCAGAACCCGCATTATTATTTATCGTGGCACAAATCGCTCGTTAAATTATTATTCTGTTTGCCGTTTGCAATTCGGTGTGTGATATAATATTATAATAATATTGTAAATCGTAGGCGCGAATCGCCATTTGTAATGTTTGATAGATGGCACGAATCGCTAGTTGTATTGTCATTAATAATTTAAGAAATATTCCAAAATATGCTAAATGGTTTAAATATTCTCTAACAAATGAAATATTCTCTAATATGTAAAAAAACTTTTTTCTGCGCATTCAGAATTGAACGAATCATCCACATTTTTAACACTCATAAGACTGCATGGCTAGTGTTGAGATTTAAGAACCCCAGAATTTTTAACGCTCTACCAACAGTAACATCAATATGGTGTTCAAAAGAAAGAGTCGGAGTTCGATAGAACCCGAGATCTTTGACAGTGGATACACATTCGAGAGAATTTTTTATATAGATAATTTTCTGCAATTCAGTGGATAACATTTTGCGATGTGCTCTAGTATAAATATATAATAATATGTGCGTTTATATTATATTATAAATGAAATTATGCAAAAAATAGGTATCATAATAATATTTACATAATATAGATAATGTAGATATATATATACATAATATAGTATTCCAAATTTCAAATATATTTTTCAAAGACCATTATTCTCGATGATTTAGAAGATTAATTCTCATAAGTACTTACTTTTATTAAAAAAATTCAGTCACAGTTCCCTACTGTGAATACCACGAGAAACATAAATGTTAATTGAATTCTAATTATTATCATTGATAATCAAATTTCATAATTTTATTGTACAAAATACAATATATAGTATAAGCAGTCTAAGCATACGCAGCCAACCTAACAGTAATAAATTATAATAATTATAATAAATGATAAAAAGTATTTTTAAAACAGAACAATTTATTATTTTCACAATGAATATTGTAACATTGTAATTAATGAGATGGAAAGTGCTAGTAATGTTACTTGTTACCAAACTTTAGAAATGTAAGGTTTTATTAATGAGTCTGAGACCGGTTTATGCGTATTGAGACGTTTGCGGTATTTGGTTATAGTTAAAGACTAGCAGTGTAAGCCAAAAATTGTGACAAGCATATTTATAGGACTCAATTTAAAATTGACAAAAAATAAAATAATTCAATCTTATGAGCCGTTGCAGTTGCCGAAGAAAATTTTGTTTTCAGTAATGGAACCGTAATAGAACCTTTCAACAAAAATTAAAAAATATCATGTCAAGATATCCACATGTGTACCATGCCATTGGTTTGTTAAACTTAACGTTAGGTACAGCATTTGTTCAAATAATCGTTCGTAATATAGATGCCCTTGAGATATTTTGTAAAGAGCCCACAATACTGTAATAGTATAAAACATTTTAATGGTAAATTAGTATTTTAGAACTTAAAAACTATATTCACCAAGGAAATAGTTTTACTAAGGATATTATAAATACCTAATCAAAATGGGTTTAAAACAAGTAAATTTATTTATAAAATAAAATCAAAAACATTAATTAATATTTTTACTTAAATGTTGAAACTCAATTATGCTAGTTTTTAACGGGACAAACGGAGTGCCCATTCAGGTGGCGCACTCTAGTGGCCCGTTACCACACCTCAACATCAAACACGACCGCGCGCTCTTACGCCGCCCGCAAGTACAAAAACACCAGCGAACGCACACAGACAACTGCGCGCCGTTACCGCAGATAGCGCTCCACGCACACCACCATTTACGGACGCCCGCCGCCCTCCGGGAAATCGCTCATAACTTATAAACCCCACAACTTAAAACCATTTTCATACTACTATAAAATTCTACAGAACCTACGCTACATGATGGGTATTTTTAATGTATTTTAAGCTACCAAGAAAACATTGAAATCCGCAAAAGCATTTCATACATTTTACACACCATCGATAATCGGAGAATATCATATATAGACCTCGAAAACGCTGTCCAGACCACCACTTCCCCGCTGTGTCGAATGCATTAGTGAGCCGGACGAGCACACCACTCGTTAGACACGGACACTAATCATTCGACAAATCAGCATACGCCCTACGACTTATTGCAAGCCGGACGAGTCTTTTAAGCTCGTTAGACACGGATGCAGTATACAGTCCGCCCCGGCAACCCCAGTAACGCTGTTATTACGTCGAGCCGCCGCCGTCCGAGCCGTGCTGCCGCGTAGCATCCGCTGTCCCTCGTATTCGTTTCAATAACGCTGTTATTACGTCGAGCCGCCGCCGTCCGAGCCGTGCTGCCGCGTATCATCTACTATCTCGTGCCGTGAGACGACGTTACCCGTAGTCCACCGCCAGTCGACTGGAACCGTATCCCCGCCGTTCGAGTGAGGGTGTACAGTTCGATCAAATAGTTCAATTCTGGTTTGTCGTGTCGGTCGAGTATTTCGAGTTGTTCCTATCCCGCCGACAACCAGATTGAAGAGCATCACCGCCGCGCACGTTGCTGTGAAGCTGTCCAAGGATCCATACATTGTATTACGTCGAAGACAAGTACGCCATACACGGGTCATGTCCAACTCCACCAAGTCGTGAGTTGAATGTAAACTGACCCCCCTTTATATGTAAGTCCCCAAATAAACTATTTTTACTGTACACTCTCCGGAGTCAACTTTAATACAATATAAAAGAAAATACTGTTGTAAGATTAATACATATTGTATAAACTCAGATAATGAGCACATTGGTTTTAAATAAATAAAACACTATAATTATCAACCAATTGCGTTTCATTACATTGGCGCCCAACTGCAGTGCTCGATTAGGAAGAAATTCTACTTCGACCTACGAGAAGAACCTACATCGTGCTCTTTAGAAGAAAACTACTTCGTGAAGAAAACTACATCTCTAAGAATGGCACCGAAAAAGAATATATCCGAAGAGACTTTCAACGCATTCATAGCGGAAGTGGAGAGGAACAGTCAATATTTAGTTGACCAGTTGTTGCAAAAAATTAATAAATTAGAAGAAAAGTGCAACAACCTGGAAGACGAAAATAACAGGAAAATCGAAGAAGTTGTGGAAAACTATGAAAGGAAAATCGGAGAAGTTGTGGAAAACTACGAAAAGAAAATCGAGTTGATTGAAGTACAGCTCAATGATGTGAAACTAAAATATGGAAGTAACAGTAGACAACCAATACATAATGGGTGTAGCAATAAAACAGAACAGATACACAACACTAAGATATCGCGCCCAATATTCTACGGAAACAACCGCGATGGACACCCAATAGATTTTCTGTACCGACTGGAAGAATATTTTGCAATAAAACAATCATACGTTGGTGAGAAAATAATTATTGTGGGTGATTGTTTAAAAGGAGCTGCATCAAATTGGTTCTCTACCGTCCGATTCCAACTCACCAATTATGATGATTTCAAAAAGGCGTTTATCGACGAATTTTGGTCCAGGGAAATACAAATCCAGGTATGGAGTCAGTGTCTGAATACCAAACACATACCGAACAACACCAACTACCGCGAACACTTTGCCACGTGGGCAACCAAACTTCGGCACTTAGAAGTACCGCGGTTGTCGGAGAGTGAAATTGTCAAGCACATAGCAAGACACTACCCAGGATATATCAGAGCAATATTAGTATCACTACCCGAGTGTACGATACTCACAGCCATGAAGATGCTAGGTGAGGAGGGGCAAAGTGATCGACCCACGGAAAATAAAGCAAGTAATCCAAAAGCTGGCCAAAATGATTCCAACAACAACAACCAAAACAGCAACAGTTGGAACAACCAGCGGAATAGTGGGTGGAACAACATGCCACCGCGCAACAACCGGTGGAACAATCAACCATACCGTGGTAATGATAAGAGAGGGGAGACCCAATCACACAACACACCACAGACAGAAAAAATACAACAAGTGTCAACGAAGAACGACGAAGAAGCGGGACCAAGTGGCAATGAACAACACGCTATAAATTCATTGAACACAACAAACCAGTCAATCAGTCCATACATACAGTGTACAATAGAAGGAGAAGAGGTCACCCTGCTCATTGACACCGGAGCAACAATCAGTGTGCTGACGAAGGAAGTAGTCGATGTTGTCACCAACAAAAATCCAAAAATCCCACAATTCCCAGTGACCGGAATCCAAATCAGTAACGCGGTCGGAAAAAAAATATGCAAAGTATCAAAACAGATTTTTTGTGAATGCAAAATTGGGAGCGAATATATTCAAACCAACTTCATTCAGGTGGAGAATCTCAACGAAAAAGGGATAATTGGAGCAGATATATTAAAAAAATATGACGCTCAAATCAAATTCCAAGAACAGGTAGTTCAATTTACAGTAGATAAAACCATACACACCATACCGTTCGCAAACCAAAAACCTAGAATAATCAACACCCAGGAACACTTGCTCAATGTGGAGATAAATGAAAACTCAGACGAAGATCAAGTGGATCTCACCAGTGAGGAGCAGCAGAAATTTATATCATTGCTTGACAAGTATGAAAAAATATTTTCCGACAAACCCGGAAAAATCGAAGCGTTTCAGTGCCAGATAAGAGTGAAAGCAGGGGACCCTATCCATCAACGACAGTATCCCATTCCCGTGTCCAGGATACCCAAGGTAGATGCGGAGATCCAAAGAATGCTGCAACTCGAAATAATTGAAAAATCTACATCACCCTGGTCGTCACCCATTGTGTGTACTGAAAAGAAGAACGGCAACATCCGGCTATGTCTTGATGCACGGAAGATCAACACCAGGATTATACCGGACCGCGAGTGCCCTACTAACATGGAGGAGACATTAATGAAGTTCCGCGGCATGAGATACCTTAGTTCAATTGATCTCACCGCCGGATACTGGCAATGCCCATTAAAGGAGGAGTGCAGAGAGATAACAGCTTTCCTGCATAGAGGGAGGAACTACCAGTTCAAAGTATTGCCATTTGGGTTAATCAATTCGGTGGCCGAGTTCCAAAAGATACTCGACCAAGTATTAGGACCCGAAATACTTCGATTTGCGGCCATTTATGTCGATGACATTCACATTACATCACGCAGCTTTGAGGAACACATGCAACACCTTGAGAGCATCTTTTTAAAGCTAGCGCAGCATCACATCACCATCAACAGGAAGAAATCGCAATTCCTCAAAAGCCAGGTAGTCTTTTTAGGGCATATAATATCCGAACAAGGAATCACCATGGACCCGGATAAGATACAAGTAATCAAAAATTTCCAACCTCCTAAGACAAGAAAGCAAGTCCAATCTTTCTTTGGATTTATAAATTTTTACCGGAAATTTATCAGGGATTTGTCCCAAGACACAGAAAAATTAAGTTGGTTGACAAAAAAGGATGTAAAATGGCAGTGGGGAAGTCAGCAACAACAAGCTTTCGAAAATATCAAGTCAAAGTTTCTGGAAGACATAATGATTCAATTTCCAGACTTAACCAAAGAGTTCTACATAAACACGGACGCATCAACCACGCATGTTGGAGCAGAGCTATACCAACTGAGCGACAACGGTCACCACCAGTCCTTAGGATTCGCCAGCCGAACCCTAAACGCCGCAGAACGAAACTACAATACCACAGAACTGGAGCTCTTGGCAATAGTCTTCACTTGCAAAAAATTCCGAAATTATTTATTAGGACACAAAGTCAAGGTACTAACAGATCATCACGCCCTGACGTTCCTAAACACCTGTCAGCTGTTGAATTCAAGGCTGGTGAGGTGGGCTACGTTCCTACAAGAATATCAGTTGGAGATCACCCATGTGCCAGGTCGGGACAATGTCGGAGCGGACACTTTAACCAGATATCCGCAGTCACCCGAGGACAGCACGCCAACCCAGGAGAAGACCATCATCATCAACAAATTAGCCATATTAAATTACAGTCCCGAACTACGAGAGAAGTTCAAGGAACTGCACATCACGCAACTAGACGACGTCTATATTAATAAACTGAAACAACGAGTGGGTCATCGAGACGACTTAATTGAGCATGGTCAACTAATGTTCCGCAAGTCCCAAGGGGAATATCAAGTGCTTGTACCGGCTGTGCTAGTAGAGCCACTTATCATTGAAACACACCAAATATATGGTCACTGTGGTACCCATAAAACCTACAAGTTGTTACAACAAAATCACCAGTTCCAAAACATGTATCGAACCATAAAAAGGGTAATAAAAACATGTGACCTCTGTCAACGTACCAAAATCAACAACCGAATAGCCAGGGGACCAACAATGAGTCTACTGCCCGAGAAGCCACTGGAAATGGTGTCGGCGGACCTGATGGGACCCCTACCTAGGGGACAAGGTGGGTGCCGATATATCTTGGCCATGTTGGACTTATTTTCAAAATATGTGAAACTCTATCCGCTAAAACGTGAAACGACCGACACAATAATAAAACGAATAATAACGGACTACATACCCACGGTTGGAATGTTCAAGAAGATTCTTACAGATAATGGGACACAATTTACCAGTCACAAATGGAGTCGGGTCATGGAAGGGCTAAACATCAAGATTGTACGTACCACCGGATATCACCCGGAAAGTAACCCAGTGGAGCGAACCAACCGAGAGATTGGGCGGTTACTCCGTACTTATTGTCACAAGCAGCACACGAACTGGCTACGCTGGTTGGACAATATAGAGTTCTGGGTCAACCACACTACCCATTCATCAACAGGCTACACTCCCCAATATGTGTTGTTTGGAAAAGACATGGCATTATCAATCACCAAGCTCATCACATTCCCACCATACAACGACGACAAACCCATCCAGGATGTAGTTCAAATAGTGATGAAGAAGACCAAGAAACAGGCTCAACTACGAAACAGAAGGAAAGACAAAGACAAGATTTTTCCAAAGTATGAAATTGGAATGAAGGTACTGGTTAAAGAACACCGACTGTCATCCGCAGAGGACCACGAAATTCATAAGCTATTTTTACTATACCATGGGCCATATCAAATCCAGGAGGTACACCAGAACAACACAGTCACCGTGTGTACTCCTAATGGAACCAAACACACTTACAACTTTAAAAACATCAAACAGTACCATGAGGCTGAACTCCCAGCTGAGGTACTGGTTGAGCGTCACTAAATAAATAATTACACAAAACAAAAAAAAAAAAAAAAAATATATATATAAGAAAAAAAAAAAAAAATGTAATATTGTGACTAACTATATGTTCTGCCTGTGATACTAACTAACAAAACAATGGACCAGGTAATTAATGCATCCCTCCATAGGAACATGAACACGAAGATGTTTGTCCAAGTACCCTTGGAGAAACTGAGACGAACCCAACCACTTAACCTACTGGAGCTGACCAGTATTGATCGTTACCTCAGCGGAGAACAGAAAAAGCGAATAGCGAAATTCTTCCGGGAGGAAGCAGCCAAGCGAACAAAATACTCCTTAGAACCTACCTGGATCATACCAGAATCAGTAATAGCTATCAAGAGTAAGATTAGGACGGAGGTGAAACCAGTTGACCCAGAGGAAGAGGTACAGATAAACTCCCCAGCCAGCACCATTGTGACCGACAGCGACGAGATCGAACCAGAAGATACCCTCGAGATCGCTACGTCCCCTCTGACCAGAAGCAGCAATGAAAGCGAGAGTGACAGTGACCTCGAAAGCCATAGCCCGGGAAGTGCCAGTCCAGAAGTTGATCGGGTAAAGGAAACTGTACAGACACTCTGGGACAGGGATCAGGGAACATACAGCCAACTCAAAGATACAATCTTCACTGCCAAGAAGTATATGAAGGAATTTGAGGGGATGTCGAAAACACAGCTAAAGAAGCAACTATATAAGGAGAGGACCAGGCAGATCAAAGCCCTAAAGCAGAAATACCGTTAATAGAGATACCATAAACTACTGTTTTCATTTTTTCCGAACGACACCGCATCCCTTGTTCGGAGAAAAATAAAAAAGGGGACTATGTAACGGGACAAACGGAGTGCCCATTCAGGTGGCGCACTCTAGTGGCCCGTTACCACACCTCAACATCAAACACGACCGCGCGCTCTTACGCCGCCCGCAAGTACAAAAACACCAGCGAACGCACACAGACAACTGCGCGCCGTTACCGCAGATAGCGCTCCACGCACACCACCATTTACGGACGCCCGCCGCCCTCCGGGAAATCGCTCATAACTTATAAACCCCAAAACTTAAAACCATTTTCATACTACTATAAAATTCTACAGAACCTACGCTACATGATGGGTATTTTTAATGTATTTTAAGCTACCAAGAAAACATTGAAATCCGCAAAAGCATTTCATACATTTTACACACCATCGATAATCGGAGAATATCATATATAGACCTCGAAAACGCTGTCCAGACCACCACTTCCCCGCTGTGTCGAATGCATTAGTGAGCCGGACGAGCACACCACTCGTTAGACACGGACACTAATCATTCGACAAATCAGCATACGCCCTACGACTTATTGCAAGCCGAACAAGTCTTTTAAGCTCGTTAGACACGGATGCAGTATACAGTCCGCCCCGGCAACCCCAGTAACGCTGTTATTACGTCGAGCCGCCGCCGTCCGAGCCGTGCTGCCGCGTATCATCTACTATCTCGTGCCGTGAGACGACGTTACCCGTAGTCCACCGCCAGTCGACTGGAACCGTATCCCCGCAGTTCGAGTGAGGGTGTACAGTTCAATCAAATAGTTCAATTCTGGTTTGTCGTATCGGTCGAGTATTTCGAGTTGTTCCTATCCCGCCGACAACCAGATTGAAGAGCATCACCGCCGCGCACGTTGCTGTGAAGCTGTCCAAGGATCCATACATTGTATTACCTCGAAGACAAGTACGCCATACACGGATCATGTCCAACTCCACCAAGTCGTGAGTTGAATGTAAACTGACCCCCCTTTATATGTAAGTCCCCAAATAAACTATTTTTACTGTACACTCTCCGGAGTCAACTTTAATACAATATAAAAGAAAATACTGTTGTAAGATTAATACATATTGTATAAACTCAGATAATGAGCACATTAGTTTTAAATAAATAAAAGACTATAATTATCAACCAATTGCGTTTCATTACAAGTTTAATAAGTATTTATTATTATATTTAGGTATTAAAGTTTTAATCGGGTAGTTGGAGATCAGTAACACCGATCGCAAACTTACATATGAATAATATAAATTGGCTAGACAAGCCTGAATAAGTATTTTGTTTTTTTTGATCATGGTTGGCATAAGTTTGAGTTTAATTTTTGATACGAAATTTATATTTTATTCTTCATCACTAAATGTTCCTATAGATTTATCGATAAGCATAAGCAAAAGTAACGTATTTTATTACACAGCTGTTCAACTTCTAAACATACTGTAATTTTGTCTGGTAAATAATATTACGAACATATTTTATTTTAGAAACAAAATAAAACGATTGACACAAATTCATACGCAGTAGTTAGTTTGAAACTAATATATTTCGTTATGTCAAAATGTCGCATAATAAAATATATAATTTTATATTAATATTTTTGTGCATTACATCAAACATTTTTTCAGTTTTATCAAAATTATCAAAATTAGAGAATGATGTCAACCTTGCAGTACGTTCTAGTATATTTACCAGTGATCATTTGTCATATAGTATTAGACTGAAACTCGATATGGATTTAAATCTTTATGGATATTTGGTTCCATCTGCAGCTACAGAAACAAAAACAGATATGTACATGAGTGTATTTTATATTTATACGAACTGTTCGTTTGCTGAATGGCTTCAGAATAAACTATTTAAATTTATCGAAAAATTCCCAATATTTTATCAATCGAAATTTCAAAACACTAAAAACAATGAATTTAATAAACGTTTTGTCAGAAAGAATCTAACTAATAAATTAATCAATATCGAGTCTTTTGTTATACCCTCCATAGGTATTTTACTGCACAATTTTTTACATCTCGCTGATTCCAGAGATTATGATACGTCGTTATTAAAAACAATGTTATTACTACAATTTAAAATTCACTTTTTGACGCTCCCTGTAGATACCAAACAACCACCAACAGATGATGTAGTAGTTCGATCAATTCTCGAAATAATGAACTTCATTCAAATGTTCATGGCCACGAATTGTGATGTTCACACTTATAATAAAAAATATTATAACAATGATAGATATTTTATTAAATCATCACATTTCTTTGATTTCTATATAACTACATCAGCTGACACAAATGGCTATATTTTAAAGATTTTCAATCTTATAAAAGAACTGGGTTTAGAAGATAGTAACAAATATTGTAATACAGATAAAATGTTGTTGGTAAATATTGTGACCGAGAACCCGGATCATCCTGTTTTGTGGGAGATTTCTCACGCAGTAGTTAATACAAATTCTAAAACAATTAAGATTTACCAAATACTACAAAAAATTGAAAAACGTGAGTGTGACCTTGAACTAATATTTTGGTATCAGGAATCAATCTTTAATGCAATTGTGAAATTAACATACAATAAGATAATAACGGCCTTGCAACAAGGAACTCTTCTCAAGCCAGAAGACATTGTTAAGTCAATACCAAAATTCATAGAATTGCCGACAGATGTCACTGATTATTTTACGAGCGGAATATATAGTACTGATGAAAAGAATGAGCAGATTAATACCGATGATATTAAAGAAAAATTGATCAAAAAAATTACTGATCTTCGTGACTCGATTACCAATATAATTTTAGAAACTTATAATACAACTGAAAATCAAGACGTATCTAATTTAGATGAATTTACAAGATATATGAATTCAAACAGTGAAAAGTTTTACTGTTATAATTCGGTGTGTAAATTCCTACGAAATGAATTCACTAAATATTACATACCATTCATAAGAGATCTGTCAAAAGTCGAACAAATTGTGTACGAGGATGTTAAAATCGATGAAAAATCGGAAAAAAATGAAAAAATGAAAAAATCGGATGAATTCGTTCGATCTGATGTGGATGATAAATTAACGGATAGTAGCAGTTGTCAATATGTTAGAGATTTGTACAATCTCTGTCTCGAAGCAACCACATTTTTAAAAATGGTTTTAGACACAGAAAATGATTTTGTAGAAGAATACTCAGAACAAATAAATACTATTTTGACAACGATTAGAAAATGGTCCATTGAGGTGATCGAACGGTGTACGTACAAAGGCTGCAGGGACCTTTTAAAAGTGTCATACCATATTTACGTTGTCTTGAATCCAAAGCACACTGAACATTTTAAATACAATCAAGCGCCGATGTTCATGTCATTGATAATGTCTATTTTAAATACCTATGGTATTGATCACTGTAGTCCACCAAAATTCAATTTCTTGTTATTCAACACTACATATCTCGAGGCTATAGGCAATGATGCTGTACTTAATAAACGTTTAAATTCATTTGTGCTGAGCCTTGAAAACTACCGAAATATACCGATAGTTGAAAACTACTCAACATTTTTAAATATTGACAATTTTTATAAAACATATCTTGAAGAAACGTCTTTGTTCACTAAAAACAAAGACAAGTTCAGTTTTTTTTACAAAGGTGAAAGGAAGCACATTCATGAAATTTATAACAACATACGTGCAATTATTTTGGACCCTTCCCATGTGTTCAAATTGTATGATATATATTTCAAATTCATTCTTTGTTCTATATTTTACAAAGTGTGGGTTTTCGCTAATTACTCATTCAAAGAAAGTCAGTCAAAATCGAATGTATTGCGGTTTGATGATTGTCATGACTTTCACCATCATTAAAATATGTTTCTTAATATTGAAAATTTTATCGATACTTGTGTCTAATGTTGACCGATTTTCTACGTTGGTATATGATCTATGTTATTTAAGAGTAGAGATAACCGAAAATAACCACAAAAAAAATAAGTCTAATGATTCTAGGACAGTAAGCGATTTAGATAAGCTGTATCTTAAAATATACAAATTAAAAAACCATATGAATAATCAATTTGAAGAATTTGGTATGTTTATAACAAAAATATTAGAAGAGATCCCGGAAACGCCGTTAACCCTAAAGGACAAATTTAAACATACTGTTCTTAGAAAAACCAAAAAAAACTGAATTGATAGAAAAAGTTTTCGGAGATATGACTGAGAATACCTGCGAACTAGTCAAGGCTGCTAACAATATGCTCTCAGAACTCATAATCAATATTTAATTGAAGGTAACAGTCAATTTTTGAATATGCATTAATTATGAAAAACTTGTATGCCAAATTGTACATTCGGAATCGTAAAACAATAATTTTCATAAACAATATTTGTTACCTTTCTTGGTTACAATTATTTTTCTTTCTCTACTCTCCTTATAGTTGTAATATACAAATACGAATATCATTAAAATTCCAGCTGTTCACTACTATTTGAATAATCATTAAATTGTAATTATATGGATATAGGTACCTAAATTATATTCAATTTTATAAATCCAATCCAACAAATTACTAATAAGTAATAACTTAGGGCTGAAGAATTCTAGTATACTTATAAATCGCAATATATGGATTCACTTATGCACAAAAAATACAAAAAATATAATCTATAAAAATGTATAATATGAATTTCAGTACTTAAAATATACAATTAATATGAAAAAGATAGTTTGATTATTTACTTAATATAAAAACTTGAAAAATTAACTAACTTATTTTTAATAATTCTAACTCATAAGACTGCATAGACCCTGCAGTGATATGTAAAAACATATAAATCCGGTCTTTAGGTTTATAACATACAACACAACCGTCGACTAATACAATATATAATACTAATGACACTGGCGATTCGCACCTTGAAATAATAATACAATATTAACATATTATCG